TTGGGGGTGTGGGGGTGCAGGCCCCCTGCCCGCTCTACATGGCTCTTGCCTCGTCTCATTCCACACCCCCAGCCTGCACAAGGAGTTTGTTTTCTCGTTTTGTTTTGCCGTGCTGGGAATTGAACCCAGGGCCTTGTGCAGGCTAGGCAAGTGTTTTAGCACGAAGCTCAGTGGGACAGGTAGACCGGGGCTGACAGCCAGGGCAGTGGGGAGCAGCAAGCAGGGATCAATTCCAGCCAGGTCCTGTCTTTCTGCATCAGGGCTGCTGGGAGCTGAGCCCGGGGCTCTGTCATCCCGCCCTACCTGCTCCCCTCTCATGAGGCCTGGGCTCCAGGTCCGCTGGGGTTGGGTTTCAGGATTGAGGGGCGATTGGACATACTTACTCCCACCACAGTCCTCAGGAAGTAGAATCTAAGCACCCCCATGACTGCCCAGCCTTATGTAAATACCTCTCAGTAGCCCAGGTATGCTAAGGGAGGGTCAGAGGTCAGAGGTCAAAAGGCAGAGACACATTCCTGACCCAAGCAGGGAGGGTTGTCAGGAGATGGCTGTGCTAACTTGGGTCCCTCTTCCCTTTCCCCTCCTTGGCCTGAAAGCAGGACGCTAAGCTGTGAATCCCTGCCCCGCCCATCTGGTCTTGTCTCCAGCTTGCCCTCCACCAGCTGTTACCAAACTTCCTTTGTGTGGAAGGGGAGCTGGGCTTCTGGGGCAGGCATGCTAAGCCTCCTTCTAGATCTACAGCTTAATCCAGGACAGAGCAGCTCGAGGTTTGGGAGCTGGAGGCATCACTCGGGAGACCGCAGCCCAGGGCTGTTGGCAGAGCCACGGGGATGGCTGGCCTGTGGTCTCCAGGGGGTGGGCTCTTGGACCAGGAGCCAACTGAACGGTGGCTTATGTGACCTAAGACCCTGGTCAGGCCCTAGTTCTGATATCACCTGGAGATTTAACCATGAGCTGAACTGCCTAGCATAGATGGTGGGAGCAGGGGCAGTCACAAAAGAACTGTATGGAGGGCTTCTTGGAGGAGGAGGAAGAGGAGGTGGTAGCCCTTGGGCTGTCTGTGATGAGAAAGAAGGGGCATTTGGGACTGGTAGAAGATAGCCATAACTTGTGAACAGCGTGGGGCTGGGGAAGAATTGTCACCCTCATTAGAGCCTGGATGTGCGGTTACCCTGTGGACCCTGGCTGAGCCCAAACCCCACGCTAACCAGCCTGTGAATCCATTTCCGTCTCCAGGCTTCATTGCTTCCGTCTATACAATGATCCTGTAATAGCTGGTCCCTTGCAGAGGTAGACACCCACCATCAGGATGGGGCAGGTCTGGAAAGGGGAGCCAGGGGAGGGTCTTGATCGTGGCAGTGGGGGTCTGATCAAACGGCATGAGAGGCCGATGAGCTCCACAGAGGTGGAGGAGCAGCCAGGAGGCGGAGGATGAAGGGTCATGATCAGGAGGTACACAGAACCATCAGGAAGATGACAGGCCAGAGCAGGAACCCCCAAGAGGTTGTGTTCTAAGGGACCAAGCCTGCATGTGTCTAGACAGGACCTCAGAAGAGTCCTTGAGCCTCGTCTTTGTCATGCGTCGGGTGTCTGGGCTGAGTGGTCAGACGGTGGGGTGGAGGCCCAAAGCACACTGGATCCTTTCCTCCCGCACACAGCCATCATCTGCTCCTGCGTCAGGAGGGGACCATGGGGACCCTGGCTCCACGGGGACCAGGTTCCTTGACATTTTGCAGCAGGGTAATGAAGGATGAGAGGAGAGGGGATTTGGGGTTCTCAGTGGGTGATGAGGCCCTAGGTCTCATCCTAGAAGACTTGGATTTGGCTCCTTCATTTTGCACTTGGTCTTCACCATTTGGCAAAATGAGAGAGAGACAAGAGTCAGGCCTCGGCTCCCTCTCTCCAGCACTGCTCAGTTCAGCGCTCATCGATGGCCTTGCATCCCATCCTGACCTGGCTGGCCCTTGTCCTGCCCATGCCAACCCGCTGGCACCTCATGCCACGGTGCCCAGACCCCCAGCCGCTGCCTCCTCTCCTACACATGGCTGAGGCCCAGCAAACAGGAGGCCACTCGGAAGCAAGTTCCCCTGCTCTTGGACAAGCTGCCTCCTGGCATGGGGCCCAGGGAGCTGGCAGAGACTATCCTAACGTGGCAGGCAGGGGGGTTCTGGGGACGGGAGGGGGCAGGAGGAAGCGGGGGATGGGGGTGAGGGGAAGAAGAAGAAGGTGTGGTAGAGGCTCAGGGGAGGCTCTCCAGGGGCGGAGCTGCGGGGGGGGGCATAGGCCTGGGTGTGGACCCAGGGGCAGAGCGGGCTGTTGGCACTGCGTGGGTAAATAATGTGGGCCCATGGCACACACAAGTGTTTACATAGAAGGACTTGAAATCATTCCAGACCTGCCTTCTGTCCCCCGCAACCCCAGCCCCCCCCCATCCCTGCCCACCCCACCCACCCTGACCTTTTCTTCTTTGTTACTTAGAGGAACCCTTGACAGGAAGAGTTGGAACCAGAGGGAACACCCTCCTTTCTCATCGGCTTTCTCTCTAGCACAGGAAACTGCAGGGCTGCCATGTTAGGTTGGAAAAGTTGGGCACTAAACAGAGGAGGGATGGCAGGTGGAGTTGAAATTCCACTTAGCCCTGTCCACCACGCTGCGTAGCCAGAGAGGAGAAGACGCCATTGTCCGAGTTCTGCAAGGGTTACCCATGAGCTGGCCATGGGCGGGCCCTGGAGCCAGACGCATCTTCCGAGCTGGCTTCTTAACTCGCTCCACCTCCAGGGGCTAAGCCACGGCCAGCCACACGGTGAGACAGAGCAAGCCCGCTCCACAGGGGAGGGGCCAGGGTGCCCGGTGCCCTCCCCACTGCCCCTCCACAGTGAATCCTGCCACAGAGCGGCCTTCTGTCCGTGCACGTGAGCCTCGTCCTCCTCCTCCTCCTCCTCCTCCTCCTCCTCCTCCTCCTCCTCCTCCCTGCCAGCCGCTTCTCAAATTGAACTTGTGCCACACATACACCCCGCCAGGCCTGCTCAATCCTGCTGGCTTCCTCCAGCGTGGCAGAGGTGGCCTGAGGATCTGCGTGTCTACTGAGTGGCCACCACCTCTGAGCGCCCAGCTGAGTGCTCTGGGGAGGGACTTGAACCTCCCTCCCTCTGCACTTTGCCCTTCCACTGCCTATCAACTCCACAGTGCTGGGGCAGTGGGGCGGGGGGGGGGGGGAGGGAGAACGCGAGAAGGAGGCTTGAATGCCTTATCTGCCTCTGCCTGTCTCCAGGTGTTGAATCTCAGGCTCACTAATCACCCACAACTTGCAACCCTAGGGGATTTGGTGAGCTCCTGCCTCTTGCCTCACACAGGTGTGGTCCATTGGAAGTCCTCAGGAAAGGATCTGGGCAAGACTGGAGGACCATGAGGAGCGAGGCTCCTGCTGAGACCCAGTGGTGCTTGGGCAGCAGGGAAGGTGGACATCTGAGGTCCTGAGGGTCTAGGAGTCCCCGTCAGTGGCTCCTGCAGCCACCAGGGAGACAGAGTGGCATGATTTCCACGCAGCCGCACATCCTCGGCGCTTAGGCTCCAGGAGGAGAGCCGAGGGGCTCTGGAGAAGCACATGTCTTGAGGGAGGCCCAGGAGAAACAGAATGTGTCCTGGGTGTGTAGGCAGGACAACTTCCAGTTGTTACGGGAGGGGAAGGGGCACTTCCAAAGTGCTACTCTCCATCAGGCACTGGTACAAAGGCTATGCCTAGAATCCTTGCTACTAGAGAGGCTGAGGTTGGGAGGATTGTGGTTCCAGGTCAGCCCGGGCAAAACGTTAATGAGACCCCTGTTGATATAGTGGGAAGCTGGATGCAGTGGTACCTGCAGGTCATCTGAACAATGCCAGGAAGCGTGAAGCAGGCAGACTGCAACTCAGGCAGAAGCAAAACCCTATCCTGAAATGAACTGGTGAAAAAACAGGGCTGGAGATATTATTTCGGCAGCCTAACAAATGCAAAGGCCCTCAGTTCAAACCCTACTACCGCCAAAGGAAAAAGTAGTGCTACTCTGTGACTCTATTTGTCTCCCCCAAAGGCCCCCACATATAAGGGGATTATGCCCTACTCCCTTGGTCCTTTCTCTCTTTCTTTTTTGGTCAGTCGTGGGGCCTGAACTCTGGGTCTGGGCGCTGTTCCTCAGCTCTTCAGCTCAAGGCTAGTGCTCTACCACTTGAGCCACAGCACCTCTTCTGGCAGTTAATTGGAGATAAGAGTCTCCTGGACCTTCCTGCCCAGGCTGGCTTTATTGTTTGTGGTTTTTTTTTTTTTTTTACTGTATTGTTTTTGTCTTTTCTCTTTTGGTACTGGGGATCGAACCCAGGACGTTGCACTTGCTAGGTAAGAGCTTTGCCACTGAGCTACATCCCAGCTCCCCAGGCTGGCTTTAAACTGTGATCCTTAGATCTCAGCCTCCTGAGTAGCTAGGATTACAGCTCCTTGGTCCTTTCTTCTTTCCCTGGGTGGGTCAGAGAAAGTTCAGGACTGTGATTGTGGCGTCTTCCATCCCCTCTACCTTCCGCTGTCTAAGGCAGGATGACAGACACCAAGTGTGACTACAGCAGGCTCAGTAGCTGGAAGGATTTGGAATTAGGGGCTCCTTGTTTAGGCCTCAGTTTACTCATCTGTCAAATGGGTGCCTTCCACGGTGGGGACCCAGCCGGGACCATTGTCTCAGAAGCCTGTTCTAAACGCATGACATGGTCGGGACTGCTGTGCCCGGCCAACCTGGCTGCCATTTCCCATCTTGTTCTCCCCCTGCCCCCTCTACCCTTCCCTGTCTTTCCCAGCCAGCCCTCCTCTGCTCATTGCCCAGTGACCCAGAAGGCCCAGCCCTCTCCCAGGCCCAGCCCACTCCCACTGGGGCCCTCATCCTTGTAACCAGCTTAGTGGCCCCGTGGGGATGGGGAGGCAGTCAGACCTGACTCTCCTTCCTCTCATTTCTGTAGACGCAGCTGCCGGCCCCAGAAGCATGGGCAGTGCCAGCCCAGGCCTGAGCGACATGGCCCCCGGCTGCCTGCTGCTACCCCCTGATACCCTGCTACGGACGGGCCTGGAGAAGATGGCAGCGGGGGTGGTGGGCCCTGAGAAGCGGGGCTGGAGCCCCAGCCCACCTGCCACGCCTGAGCAGGGCCTATCTGCCTTTTACCTCTCCTACTTCGACATGCTGTGCCCGGAGGATGGCAGCTGGGGGGCCAAGGGCCCCTTGCTGAACACGGCCCGGGAGGAACCAGCAGATGAGCCTGAGCAGTGCCCTGTCATTGACAGCCAGGCCTCGGCGGGCAGCCTGGATGTGGTGCCTGGCGGCCTGGCCCTGGAGGAGCACTCGCTGGAGCAGGTGCAGTCCATGGTGGTGGGTGAGGTGCTCAAGGACATCGAGACAGCCTGCAAGCTGCTCAACATCACTGCCGGTGAGCCTCTCCTCCGCATCCACGGCCCCCAGGAGGACACAGGCAGGGCTGGGGGGCGGGGATGATTCCTACCCATCTCTGCCTCGTGCCCCCGCTTAAGTGCTTCCCTTCATTCATGCTGCTCCAGCCGCTTGTCCTGTCTGCTGCTTCTCAACATTCACCTCAGAATCTTTGCACCTGTGGGTCCTTCGGCCTTGAACATTCCCACCAAATATCTACTCAACTCCTCACCAACTTCCGCTCCTGATTTAGAGGGTATCATCTCCATGAAGCCTACCCCGACCCCTTCCCCACTGAAACACCTCCACCTGTTCCCCACATCGGTCTCCCTTCTCCCCCAGCAATTATGACTGACTGCCACGCTTCCACATTGAAGTATATACTATCCACATTCCCATTCTATTCTACACTCCTGGTTCTTAGGAGAGCACCCTGGACATAATGGATGCTCAGTAAACAGCTGTCAAATAAATCCAACTATAAGCATGTCTTCACCTGCCAGCCCTGTTTTAGAACTGGGGAACAGACTGATGATCACATCACAAAGGTCCCTGTGCTCACGGGGCTACATCTCCGCCGGCCGGGCCCTGCGGTGTGATCACGGAGCTGGTCCGGTGGGTGAGGGACTGCTGCGTCTCCATGCCTGCCCTCTATTGCGTCCTCTCTCCATCGCTGTGCAGTCTTCTCACAAGATGGAGGAGCCTTCACACACATCCCTACCTGAGGCTGTTCCTGTCCATGCTTCTGTCCTCATTTCCCACACCATGCCCACCCCACCCCAGGAAACTCTCCCATGGGGCCTCTTCCCCCACACCCATTCTCCGAACAATGGAGACTGGAACAAATCGTTTTGACCTCCGCAGGAAAATGGGTTTATTAAGTGGGAGCAGCCTTGCTTGCAGGTCACCCAGCTGGGGCACTGGCTTGGATCATGGTGTTCGCTTAAAGGTGCCACAGCAACCCCGCTCCCCAGCCTGGCCCTGGCTCCAAGTCTGTGCTCTTCTGGGCTCCCCCACAGAGCAGCTGCCCAGGGGACATCTGTGACCCAGCCAGTGACTCCTCTCTTGGCCCGAGGCCTGGAGCTTCCCCATAACCTCCCTGTGCCCTGCTGCTTATTAATTCCACCTGTGAGCTGAGTGGTTACTACAAAGCCAGCCCTTTGTTGGGTGCTGGTCAAAGGGATGAGGTCTCTTGACCTTGGTTTCCTCATCTGTAAAGTCCCAGGATGGTGAGAGTAGTATTGGGTTCCTCCCTCCCTTCCTTCCTTCCTTCCTTCCTTCCTTCCCTTTCTTTTTGGTTGGTTGTGGGGTTTGAATTCTGGGCCTGGGCGCTGTCCCTCAGCTCTTCAGCTCAAGGTTAGTGCTCTACCACTTGAGCCACAGAGACACTCCCAGCTTTTTCTGTTTATGTGGTGCAGAGGAATCAAACCCAGGGCTTCATGCATGCAAGGAAAGCACTCTACCACTGAGCCACCTACCCAGCCCCTCTTCCTTCCTTCCTTCTTTCCTTCCTTCCTTTCCTCCTCCTCCTCCTCCTTCTTCTTCCTTTCTTTCATTGGTCAAGGGGCTTGAGCTCTGGGCCTGGGCGTTGTCCCTGAGCTCTTCAGCTCAAGGCAAATGCTCTACCACTTGAGCCACAGCGCCACTTCCAGTTTTCTGGTGGTTAAGTATCTCATGGACTGTCTTACCTAGGTTGGCTTTGAACTGTGATCCTCAGATCTCTGCCTCCTGAGTAGCTAAGATTACAGGAATGAATCACCAGCACCCGGCTTACAGAGATAACTTAGGTTAAAGTTGAGTTTGTTTCAGGGCCCTGGCTCCTCCCTCTCCTTCTTCTCCTTTGGGGGGACATCTGCCTTCAGGGAGACCCTTGGGGTCCTGTCTGGATGTGGCCATACTTTAAGGAGAACAAGGTCCTGGGTCACAGGACTCAGAGTTCCTTATGGGTTTCCAACCCCTGCCCTCCCACCTCCCCAGGGCCACCTTTGGCCACTCCCAAGCTGAGAGGGTGTCTCTTGCCCAGACCCCGGGGACTGGAGCCCTAGCAACGTTCAGAAGTGGCTACTGTGGACAGAGCACCAGTACCGGCTGCCCCCTGCAGGCAAGGCCTTCCAGGAACTGGGGGGCAAAGAGCTGTGTGACCTGTCTGAGGAGCAGTTCCTCCAGCGCTCGCCCCTGGGTGGGGAGGTGCTGCATGCCCACCTGGACATCTGGAAATCAGGTAGGATATGGCACAGGCGGGGCTCTCTCTTTGGCTGCAAGCTAGGGGCACTGAGTGGGCAAATTGGGCTGGGCATTACCCAAAAGATTGCCTGGCTTCTTTTTCCTTTTAAAGGAAAACAAAACAACCTTTTAAGGATTTGTTTTACTTCATTTTGTAATTAAAGAAGTAGTGAAGGGGCTGGGAAGGTGGCTCAGTGGTAGAGCACTTGCCTTGCATGCCTGAGGCTCTGGGTTCAATTCCTCAGCACCATATAAGCAAAAAGAAAAAAGCCAGAAGTGGCACTGTAGCTCAAGTGGTAGAGCCCTAGCCTTGAGCTGAAGAGCTGAGGGACAGCGCCCAGGCCCAGAGTTCAGGCTCCATAACCGGACCCCCCCCAAAAAAAAGAAGTAGTGAAAAGGGCCAGAGGCATTGTTCAAGGGGTAAAGCTCCTCCCTAGTAAGCACAAGACCTTGAGTTCAAACCCCTAAACAACAAAACCCCACATCTGTGATGCATTCACACAACTGCCCTATTGTTTTGCTGTGCTGTTTCCCTGGGTCAAGGCACCTGCCCTGAGGAGCCGGGAATGACTTAGGGGGACAGGACCACCACATGGCACATGACAGTGCCTGCTGGTGTGGGATGAAGAGCCAGGAGGTGCTAGGTGGAGAAATGGGGAGATCAGAGGTGCCTGGTGAATTGCGGCCACGGGACAGGCTGCTGAGATCATCATGCCAGGCCTTTAGCAAAGTGCAGATCTCAGCACCAGGCACAAGCGGCCCCATTTCACAGGTGAGGAAACTGAGGCACAGCATCTGAACAATCTGACCCCTGCAGGTTTTATAGGCCCCCAGCTCTGAAATCCTAATTCCCCTTCCACAAGCGGCCCCTGTAAGCAGCTCACCTCGCCACACTGGCCAGAGGCACGAAGCAGCAGGGGACACCCCTGTGGGGCTTCTGCACCCCACAGCCTCCACACTCCCCCTTCCCGCGTGGGACCTCTCCTAGGTCCACAACTTCCTCTCCTTGCCCTGCAGCGGCCTGCATGAAGGAGAGGACCTCGCCTGGGGCCATTCATTACTGTGGTAAGTTGGGCACGGGGCGGCGGGGACCAGCGGGGACCCGCGGGGACCCCAGGCAGGGCCATGGCTGGGGAGGGGCAGCCAGGGCTGCCACTCATCCCCCCTTCCCTGGCCTCCAGCCTCCACCAGCGAGGAGAGCTGGACAGACAGCGAGGTGGACTCATCGTGTTCCGGGCAGCCCATCCACCTGTGGCAGTTCCTGAAGGAGCTGCTGCTCAAGCCGCACAGCTACGGCCGCTTCATCCGCTGGCTCAACCAGGAAAAGGGTGAGCGGCCGGTGGACAGGGCGGGCACCACACCCGGCGGGCACCGCGGAGGGCGTGGCCTCGGTGGGAGGCACGGAGGGGCGTGGCCTTGGCCTGAGGGCTTAGGAGTGGGGTGTGGTTGGTGGGAGGGGGATAGAGGCGGGGCGGGGCTTGATGGGCGGGGATAGAGGGGCGTGGCTTTGGCAGGAGGGCCTAGAAACTCCGCCTTTTGTTCCTTACCTCACTGGAGGCTGGAGGCGCTCCTTGGGCTGAGTCCAGCCCCAGAGGCTGGGTCAGTCTGAGTCTTCAGCCTTCTCCTGGCCACGCCCCATCCTGTTTAGGACCCTCAGACCACCAGGTTCCTGCTAGATACAACACAGCAGGGGCTTCAGCCTGTAGGGAACGGTGTCACGCTGCCCTTGTCCATCGTTGCTTGTGGAGGGGTGAGGGAAGAAGGGAAATGCAACCCGAGCCACAGGTCTAATACGAAAATTTCTAGTAGCCACATTCGGAACATTCGAGACAACAAAAAAAAGTGAGTTAATTTTAGTAATATTCGTTGTACATCCCTAATCTAAAAAATCCAAAATCCAAATCTTCTTGATTTGTTTAGGGATGCTTAACCAACCAGTAAGTTTATGCAAATACTCTAAGATCCTAAAACCTCCATAGCTGAGACACTTTTTTTTCAACATATAAGTATAAAAAAATTCTTGAGATTACTTGGCTAAGTCTTAGAAATCTCATGTGTTAAGATATTTTACATTTCCAAGCCAGGCATTAGTGGCACACACTTGTAATCCTAGCTACTCAGGAGGCTGAGATCTGAGGATAGCAGTTCAGAGCCATCCTGGGCAGGAAAGTCCTTGAGACTCTTGTCTCCAACTAACTACCAGAAAATCAGAAGTGATGCAGTGGCTCAAATCGGTACAGTGCTAGCCTTGAGCAAAAAGAGCTGAGGGACAGAGCCCAGACCCAGAGTTCAAGGCTATCACTAATTAAAAAAAAAAAAAAGCTGGGTGCCATTGGCTCATGCATGTAATCTTACTCAGGAGTCTGAGATCTGAGGATCTCAGTTCTAAGCCAGCCTGGGTAGGAAAAGTCCATAAGATTCTTATCTCCAATTAACCACCAGAAAACTGGAAGTGGAGCTGTGCCTCAGGTGGTAGAGCACTAGCCTTGAGCTGAAGAGCTGAGAGACAGCACCCAGGCCCAGAGTTCAAGTCCCATGACCGACAAAAAAAAAAAAAATCAGGGGCTGGGAAGGTGGCTCAGTGGTAGAGTGCTTGCCTCACATGCATGAGGCCCTGGGTTCAATTCCTCCGCACCACATAAGCAGAAAAAGCTGTAAGTGGAGCTGTGGCTCAAGTGGTAGAGCACTTACCTCGAGCTAAAGAGCTGAGGAACAATGCTTAAGCCCAGAGTTCAAGCCCCATGACTGATCCAAAAAAAAAAAAAATCACATATCCAGGGCATCTCAATTGAGACTAGCTACATGAGGCTTGTCAGTGCTCAACTGCCCAAGAACTACACATGGCTACCATACTTAGTGTGCATGTGAGCACTTGTATGGGTGCACCAGGAGCTGGTGACTTCATTCTCCGCTATTTACCGGACCTATAGAACATGTTTGCATACAGAAACTTAACCCTTACTCTAGCCAGGGAGTCAGTGTCCTGGTCCCCACAGCCCCTGCCTAGAGCTGAAGAAGGCCTTAACACTAGTTCCTTGACTTTTCCACAAGATTGACTTGCTGGTCTCATCTTTCTTGCTGATGCCTTCCGTGTACACTCTGGCCTTCTTTGACCTCTTTTGCTCCCTTAGGCATCTTCAAAATTGAGGACTCTGCTCAGGTGGCCCGGCTGTGGGGCATCCGCAAGAACCGGCCTGCCATGAACTATGACAAGCTGAGCCGCTCCATCCGCCAGTATTACAAGAAAGGCATCATCCGCAAGCCAGACATCTCCCAGCGCCTTGTCTATCAATTTGTGCACCCCATCTGAGGGCTGAGAGAGCCCTCCCTCCTGCCCACCTCTGTCTCCACCAGGCCCTGAGCTTGAGGAATAGCTGCTGCTCCCAGGGCTTAAGGGAGCTCTCTGGGACCCCGGGGCGGGGATGCTTCCTCTCAGGCCTTACCACTCATATGCACTGTCCCCTGGAAGACAGAGGGAGCCAGGCTGCTCCCAGGGGAAGGTCCTCTCTTGGCCTTAGATTCACTGAAATTCCCAGAGCAGAGCCTGCAGTATGGCAGGGACTTAACCATGGCCATTTGCAGTACCACCTTCTCTCTTCTACATCATCCTTGCCCACCCATTCTGCACCATGCCTGGCAGAGTGCTAATCTTCAGTACCCTGAGTTGAGGAGCCAGAGGCTGCCCAGAAATAAATAATAAAGATACAAGAGAACTGACAAGTCCCCAGTAACTGGGCACAGAATAGTCCAGCTCAGAGACCATCAATGATCAAAAGTAGTTGTGGGCTAGGTGCCAGTGGCTCATACCTATAATCCTAACTACTTAGGAAACTGAGATCTGAGAATCTTGGCTTGAAGGCAGCCCAGGCCAAAAAAAAGTCCGTGAGATTATCTCCAGTTAACCAGCAAAGAGTTAGAAGTGGAGCTGTGGCTTAAGTGGTAGAGTGCCAGCCTTGAGCAAATAAGTTATGGGACAGGGCTGGGATGTAGCTCAGTGGCAAAGCACTTGCCTAACAAGTGCAATACCCTGGGTTCAATCTCCAGTACCAAAAAAAAAAAAAAAATTAAGAGACAACACCTAGGGCCCGAGTTCAAGTCTCAGTACAGGCATGAAAACAAAACACAACAACAGAACAAAAGTGGTTGTGGTCAGCAGGGCCTGTGATGGTCAGGAGAAACCTCCTGGGAGAATGTGGCACTGAGCTGTGACTAAAAGTTAAGGACTAGCTGGTTGGAAGAAGCTTATGGGAGGAGGCAATGAGCCCTCCAGGCCGAGGAGAGGCTAGATCATCTAATATCCTTCATCCCTCCAGGGCTGGAAGGGGGAGGTGGGCTGGGAAGGAGGGCCAGCACACAGGTCTAGAGAGAGGAGGGAGGCCTCTGCATCTTGCTGTACTGTCAGGCAGTGCCTGGTGCCTGGGATGGGCCAGGGGGCCCAAGCCCTTGTCTCTAGACCCTGGCTTTGTGTACTCAGTGGAAGAGAGTGAGGCTTATTTGCAATTTCTGCTTTGTGAAGACCCCACTGGTGCCGTCCATGAAGCTGGGAACCCAGGGTGTCGATGTGAGAACTGCCCTCAGTGCTGGGGAGCGAGGGGTGTGTTTGTGCATGGTGGGGGACCAAGCCTACCATCCACTCTCCTGACAACACAGCCTCCTCATATTTCCCCAATGTTTACTCACGTGTCCTGAGGGCCTATTATGTGCTGGCTTTTTTGTCATTGATTTCAACTATGAAGTAGGTGTCTCCCATTTTGCAAAAGAACAGCAAAATGGTTAGGTGATGCTCAGCCACACAGCTGATCTGGAATTAAATAGCAGAATCTGGAGCTGAACCCATGCCATCTCTCCCCAAGGACAAGGCTCTCCCTGCCCCTCCACCCTACCTGCTCCAGGACTGGCCCACATCTCACCATGTCATACTCGTAGCTTCTGAGGCCAGTCTTCCAAGAGGCAAGGCAGGGAGCCCATGCTACCCAGACCACCAAGGGTTAATCCTTGCCCTGTCTTGCTAACTTCTGCCTCCAGCCATTTTATTGTCTTGTAGAAAGTTCACTCCTGGCACTGAGCAAACAGCACTCTGGCATCTGTCAGCTGGGATTGGACCCAGAGCAGGAGGGGCCCTGCCTCAGGCCTGTGCCTGGCTGGATCCCGGCTGTCTCCCATCCCACAAGGAGGGACACACTGGGACCCTGGCCAGAACTAGGCTCAGCACTGCCGAACTAGTTTTGTCTCCAACCTGCCTGCCCTGCCTCCCACAAGTCCCTGGAGACACCTGCTTGGGTATCCCAGCTAGGCCTGGGCCTCAGCTCAAGCAGGACTGGGGAGGAGACTGGGTAGGAAGATAGCCGCGGCCATCTACAGCCACCTTGAAATGGGATCCAGGCTGAACCTGTGACTCATGTCTCGTTCCACAAGAAATCTAGCTGGGATTGGAGGATAGTGGGGGGGGGGGAAGAGCCTGGATTGGACCTAGCAGAATCATCGAGTCCAGCACTTTGGTGTTGCCACTTGCTTTACAAATCAAAACTTGGGCTGGGAATGTGGCTTAGTGGCAGAGTACCTGCCAAGCACACATAGAGCCCTGGGTTTGATTCCTCAGTACCAAATACACAGAGAAGGCTGGAAGTGGCACTGTGGCTCAAGTGGTAGAACACTAGCCTTGAGCAAAAGAAGCTCAGGGACAGTGCCC